GGGACACATTGCAGACACTCGTGTTGGACAGACCGTGGCATTTGCGCGTGATCACAATCATTCTGTAAATACTGCGACGCGCCTCGGCAGCTTCCACAAATAGGCCGAGTACAATTCACCTCCCCGCTTTCCCGTCCCCGTTTGAGATTATATATCCGAATTCAAACAAAACGTGTGTGTGGGGAGGGGGGGGTCACGTCGTGTTTAAACAGCAGATTCGCGTTCAAAGCCGCTGTGTGCTTTATAGCTATTATAGATATACTGTAGCGCAGCAAATATTATCTTAGCACAGACCTAGGCTTGACAAAAGAGGGTTATCTGTTGATTTTAAAAAACACCCGCTCTTGTTTCCTCACAGATCCCACTGTAATGCTTTCCAGACGTTTTCGTTTTAAATTAATCGGTGAAGTTTTTAACTCGCCATCACCGGGCACAATTCTGTGCGCTCGATGAAAAAAATAAATACCATGCCGTCTGACAAATCGCATGACATTTCCAGGCTAACGCAACGAGAGACGTACTTAACACCAATACAGCCGAGACACGCAATTCTTTGACGGCTCCTGCCTGCAATCGATACCGGGTAGCCGCCTTTCTGTCAGATACCGCGTCTTCCCAATTCGATCACCCCCCACACTCCCCCACGAACGCCAGCGGAACCCAGATCATCCCACCGCTGCGTGTTATCCCAGTGTACAGTAATCACGACAAACTGTGAGCATCCCAACAAAACAAACTGATCTTACCAGAAACCGCTGTCTTTTAATCGGGTACTGCCGTGTGCCCTCGTCCGGGAGATCTTCTTCTGTTGTTGTTTTTTTTTTTTTTTTTTAGGGTTATCTGTTGAACTAGCCCAGTTGTTCGGTAAAATTAGCAATCCGGTCTGATACGGATTGTGGTGTCAAAGAAAACCGGCCGAGTCCCATTTTCTACGGCGTCTATATTTAGCATCAAGGTCCTGTGTTAAAACCTCATTATCTGGAGGGAGAGGGAGAGAGGAATGCAATCAATAAAGGATTGGACGTGACGGTGAAAAGGAAAAAAAACAACAACACCGAGGCTGGAATTGAAATACTTTTTTTTTCGTTGCTTTTGCTTAAAATGGCGTTTTTTTTTTACCAATAAAAAAACGAACGCGTTTTCGACCCTACGCAAAGCCCTCTCCGCTCTGCAGGTGTCGAGTCGTTTCCGATGAAAGCCGCCGGGAGCCCTGGTTACGGGGAACC